TATGTATGTATATATATATATTAGGTGTAGTAAAAAGAAATCCATTATTTTTCCATTCAATTTCATGCAAAAATAATGGATTTCTTTTTACTACACCTAATATATATAAAACATATATATAACATATATTACACGATCAATAGTCATATGCATAATTTTCATACAAAGCTGTACTTTATGAAATGTATAGGTACATCATATTCAAAACGTTTTAATAAGTGACTAATGGCTAATGGCTAATGGCTAATATATTAGTACACCGTTAGTAATGAAAATCCATAGTTTACGTTATGTATATTAGATTTTCGATACTGGCAGTAATAATATTTTTTTCTACGTCCAAGGTCTACTTTACCTCTTTTTTCTACGTTTAATAAAAAGAGATATGTTTTTTTATGGTCAAATGTACAGATATTAGTGATATATGCTTTTATATCAGCTTTATATTATATATGCTTTATATTATTCAATATCAGAATATACATACAATTAACATAAATCAAAACTAATGAGAGTCAAACGCAAATTATCAGACGTAACATCTTAAAAAAAATAATCAAATTACGAATTCTCTGATAAATGATATCTTTTTTACTTTGTACATTTTAACTCATTTTGGAGTTTTCTTCAGCAATATAGATATATTACGAAAAGCTCACAAATATGAGAAGATAATAAGAAAGAGAACTAAAATTTTACAACACTTTATCTTTGGCAATTTGTGAGTGACACAATCTGTTTGGATATATGAGTTTTTCATTTATATCTATATTGCCTTGATTTATGTAGTTATACTTTATGTTATATTTTATAGATTTAAAGTCCTCTATATAATAATTGTTTTTCTCAATATTAGAATATTACATGTGTATGTATTATGATGTGTGAATATTTACACAAATTAGAGCTAGAAGTAGTTTATGCTGAGGCATTCATGCAGGTATTCCCTATGTTTATTTATATAAAATATTGCAATTAAATTTTATGTGTACATTATACACATTATATTTTATATGTATACACACAATATTGCATATTTGTAACATAAGGAATGCATAAATAGCTTAGCACAAATAACTTCTATCCATAACGTATGTATATTCACATATTATAGTATACATATATGCAATATTATATAATATTGCCTAAATGTGTATTATATTTAAATACTTACACCACTAATGTTTGTATATTTTGCATGAATAACTTCTACATCTTTTTATTAAACGTAGCAAAAAATAGAATAGTTACATATATTATATGTGTAATATATCTATGTACTAATACATGTCTTGCTAATACATCCTGACCTAAAATATTGCATTGTATGAAAGGAAAAATGCTATTACGGCTGTGTGTCAATGTACACTGTCAATACTGAAAATTTATAGTTACGTAAATTACATATGTTCAGTACTCGCAGTCTATATCGATACACAGTCCTAATATCATTTTTTCCCTATGACCAATGTCATTTTAGGTCAAGATGTAATTATGTATTATTGTCGATATATGGACACATGTTGCAAATATATATATATGTATGTATATTAATATATCAACCTTGATTAAATTTTGCCGCTCCAGCATTTCCTTAAATTGAAAAATTAGAATCATATTAAAAAATATGAATATTTAGAAAAATAAGAAAAATAAGAAGCATTCCCAATGAGAGTTAAAGTATCTATGCGATTGAGTTATAGAGTCATATAAATTATAAATGTTGTGAATACTATAATATACTATTAAATTTAAGTCTAAGAAAAATAAATTTCTTTTTGTAAGACATGCGTTATGAAATTAACAGTAAACTTTATTTTTATTCAGTATTCAGATTAAATTTATTATTACTTTTAAATTATAATTATATAAATTTATTATTACTTTTAAATTATAATTATGATTAAATTTTATTATTTATTTTTATTAATTCTAATTTTAAATTGTTTTTATAGTTTTTCTTACTTCTATCAGCGCTAAGTGCTTTACATGAAAAATTTTTATATTTAAATTAAATTTTTTCGTTTTATACGTCTAACTCTATAATTTTTTGTGATAACACTTAAATTGAGCAAGATAACGCAATTTTGTGATAATGTTTTGTTTAATATTTTGAAAAAGAATTAAATAACTATTACTTCAGTTGGAAGAAAAAAATGTCTTTGAATGAATTGTGATATAATAATTTCATTTAAGAGGAATTTAAACTATTTGGATTGGAATAGGAAGATCCTTCAATAAGATGTACGTATATTTAGGTTTCATTTCATAAAAATTAAAGATAGTATCATTTGGATTAAGTAAATAATAATAAAGATAGTATCACTTGGATTTTGTTTTTTATTTTGATAGAATTTAACTTGGCGTCACAGCGTTGATATCAATTCTTTTATACAAATGATACATATCATTAGAGTTAAGTAAATAACAAGAAACAATACCAATACATTTGTATTTTACTTTTTAATTAAACAGAATTTAACTTCGTTTATACTTCGATTTTAACTTAGTTAAAATTGTAGTATCTGAGTTTTAATTTTTCGTTTGATATTATTGATTAATTAATTTTTTTCGAAGAGTAATAATTTTTTACAAAGAATTAAAGTTACATTAATTGGGTTGGAATAAAAAGACCTTTGAAAATATCCTTGAAAAAAAATAAAAATTACTATTAATTGGATACTTAATATTATATACAAAGGGCTGATTTCACTAATTCAATTAAACCAAATCGGCGTCAATCATAAGTGGTCAATTCTACTAAACAATAAATACAATTAGTCAGTTCTACGGCCAATTAAGTAATTGGCATTGGTGAAACCAAATAATTCTTCATGAAAAATACGCTTAGAGTTTTTTACTTATTTTTAAAAAGGTAAATCTGTAAATAACAAAAAACAGTATCATTGTATTTTACTTTTTAATTTGATAGAACTTAACTTAATTATGTAGTATACAGAAAAGCGAAAATGTAAAATCCATAATGGGTATACAAAATGAAGACAGGGCAATGTTCTTATTTGTTTATGATTTCTAATCCGCAAAAGTTTAGTTTCCTATGAACATGGAGCGGAACTTGCAGTTGCGCAATCATTGCGAGTCAATGACGAACACCATTCTGGTTAATCTACGGAAAGGCTCTTGTGATTGGTCAGCGCTAATTGCACATACCGGAAATTCCGCTTCATGGGACATAGGAAAACAGATTTTAGCGGAACGAAATCGACTAAATGAAGCCATGACCAATCACGAGCGTTTCGCCAATTCTGCGCCATAGGACCATATCCTCCCATAGGATATGCGGATATGCGGAACTGCGGAATGTTCGTGATTGGTTGTGGCTTCATTCCGCTGATTCTGCCGTTTTTTATTGCGCAAATTTATTGATCACAGCACAGACTCTTGCATAACGCATAATGCATAATGCATAAAGGAATCCTAGGAAATAATGGATGTTTCATCCACAGTAATGAATCGACGCAGAAATTCATCTGAATTACGTTGAAACATCTCCAAACATTTTGAAATCTCACGATCGCGCTTATGGTCCATAGTGAGCAAATGCGACATCCATCTTGCCGATAGCTTTTTCATATCCAATTGTTCGTGCAAAATTGAAATCAACACCATTGTGCCATACGACATGCCTGTGACATATGGCCTCAACAAGCGCACTTTCACTCGTCGATCAGTCAAAACAATATCGTGGACTTTTCGATAATTTCTGGCAGTCATTTCGTAGCAGTCAATTGGACGTCCCGAACGAGGTGCATCACATGTAGATATACGACCACATTTAAATTCATTCGCCCAATTGTATATAGTCGCAAACGCTGATGCAGATGTGCTATGAACATTATCCAATTCGGCTTTGATTTCTTTCGGCGTTAAACCTTTCATATGTAGATGTGTGATTATGCACGAAACTCGTTTTTTTTCATTTTGCAAAAAATACAAAGGTTGTTTGCTTTAATCGTTTACAGAAATGAAACTACACGATGAATTCCGTTCAAAATTTGACAGTATTCAGCTGAGAGAGCTACTTGTCAAAAAGTAATGACACTGCGAGTGTCCTTTGACAGATTTTCTAAGAACTTATTGACTTACTCTTGTATCAATCACTCAGAGAGTAAATTGCATTCCGAAACCCATCAAAGAAAAAGTGTTGCAACTTTTCTGTGACAAGTTGTACATATACAACATAAACTAAAATTAATCTCGTTTATTTGATTTAAATGGAGAAAACTATTTCCTACAAGTGTATAGTTAAGC